TAAACCAAATAGATAATTTTCTCAATAGGCACCACTTGCTAAAATTAAATAAAAATTGGATAAATAACTTAAATAGACATACAACACCTAAGGAAATAGAAGCAGTCATTAAACTATCATCCCTCCCTCCCCCACACCGCCAAAGAAAAAAAACCCAGGGCCAGATGGTTTTAGTGCAGAATTCTACCAGATGTTCTAATAAGAGTTAATACTAATACTACTCAAATTATTCCACAAAATAGAAACAGAAGGAACAGCCTGGCAGTGGTGACCCACTTTAATTAATTCAAGTGGTGACCTTTAATCCCAGCACTTGGGAGGAAGAGGTGGGTGGATTTTTCTGAGTTCAAAGCCAGCCTAGTCTACAAAAGCTAGTTAATTTCATGACAGCCAGAGCTGCTGCACAGAGAAACCCATCTCTAAAAACCAACATATATTATTTTTCTTTTTATTTGTAACATAAAAAATCATATTATTAAATTATATTATCATAAATTATATATATATATATATAGAAACAAAAAAAGGAATATTGCCAAATTCATTTTAGGAGGACACAGCTTGAAACCCAAAGCACATAAAGACCCAACAAAGAAAGTTATAAACCAACTTCCCTTATGAACATAGATGCAAAACTTGTCAATAAAATACTCACAAACCAAATCCAAGAACACATCAAAAAGATTATCCACCCATGATCAAGTAGGCTTCATCCCAATGCAGAAATGATCAACTTACAAAAATTAAGGAAAGTAACCACCATGTAAACAAACCGAAAGAAAAGAAATACAAGATCATCTCATAAGATTCAGAAAAGTCCTTTGACAAAAATCGAACACCCCTTCATGACAAAAGTCCTGCAGAGATAAGGGATACAGGTAACATACCTAAACAAAATAAGGGCAATTTCCAGCAAGCATACAGTCAACATAAAATTAAATGGAGAGAAACTCAGTTATTCACCTAAACTCAGGAACAAGACAAGACTGTCCACTTGCACCTTATCTGTTCAATATAGAACTTTAACTAGAGCAATAAGACAACTAAATGAGATCAAGGGGATAAAATTGGAAAGGAAGAAGCAAAAGTATTTTTACTTGCAGATGATGTGATAGAACTAGTAAGTGGCCCAAAAAATTCCACAGAGGAACTCCTATGGCTGATAAACACTTTCAGCAAAGTGGCTGGATATACAATTATCTCACAAAAATAAATAGCTCTCCTACGTACAAATGACAAAAGAGCTAAGAAAGAAAACAGGAGTGACACCTTTCAAAACTGTCTCGAATTATATAAAATACCTTGGGGTAACTCTAACCAAGCAAGTGAAAGGCTTTTATGATAAAACTTCAAGTCTTTGGGGACAGAAATTGAAGAAGACATGAGAAGTTGAAAAGATCTCCCAAGCTCATAGACTAGTAGGGCTGACATAGTAAAATTGGCAATCCTACCCAAAGCAATCTACACATTCAATGCAATCCCCATCAAAATCCCAACACAATGTTTACAGATCATGAAAGAACAATTCTCAACATCAAATGGATAAACGTCCAGGATAGCTAAAGCAATTCTGATCAATAAAGGAACTGCTGGAGGTCTCACTATTCCAGATTGTATCTTTTACCACAGAGGTATAGTAGTAAAACCACATGGTATTGACATAAAAACAGACACAATGCTCAATGAAATTGAAATGAAGGCCAAGAATAAACCCACACTCCTATAAGCACCTGAGGTTTTTTTTTTTTTTTAAGAAATAGAAATACATACTGTTCTGAAGACTAACATCTTCAACAAATAATGCTGGTCAAACTGGATGTCTGTATGTAGAAGAATGAAAAACAGATCTATACTAATCATCCTGCACAGAACTCAAGTCCACCTTTTTTAAGAGACAGTATGACCCTACCCTGTGTTAAATGTTAGCTGCTAAGTGTTGTATGCTTACACACAAGCCATAGTCAAATGCCCTGTGTCTCAATTCTCTCACCAGACTGAAGTGGGTCAACCAGGTTTGCACTTACCAACATGAGAGAGTTGCCTAATCAGAAATTTCAGTGGCTCAAGCTAACCTCCCCAAATTGTATACACACCAATTTGGTTTTCCTTCATTCATATGACATGATTTAACACATACTTGGGAAGTACACAGAAAGGCACTCACTCTGCCCAATCAAACTGGTCTTTATAACAGAGACACCTGCAGGTTGATGACTTAATCTCTAATCTAGCTATTGCCTAGCCTATTTTCCTCTACGCTATACACAATAAACTATTCCTTCTATTCTGGTCTCAATAGAGAAGCTATGTTTCATACACAAATCATTTTCCTGTTAGTATAATCTGTGACTCAAACAGGTAGTTTTACAAGTGTGGAACTACAAACGTTTAATCAAGAATTGAGGAGGTTCAGTCAGGAGGACAACAGGGTCAATGCCCTGTGGACCTAAACATCTCAGGATCAAGGCAAAGAAAGTCAACATAACAAACCTTGTCTCAAAATATTTCCTGAAACCTTGAAGGTGCAACTATTCTGGAAATAATGTGCCATCACAATGAGAAGTCATGCCACACACTTAGAGATTGAGAAAAATCTCTTCAGTAATTACAAGTCTCCAGCTCTACTTAACACACACAGAGGAGCTGGCTGGGAACAGATCTGCTAACTTGTATACACAATAGGCTTATGCATTCCACATATGCTGTCAACTTCAAGAAATGCTGGTTACCATCCCTTCTATCATGGCTTGCTCAGTTGGCTTCCTTATACAATTCAGCATCACCTGCCCAGGGCAGCACCAACCACAGTGGGATGGGCCCTATTACGTCAATGTGACTCTAGCTTCTGTCAAGCTGACCAAATCTAACCAGCATACCTACTGAGTCATATCCCAAATCCCAAAGACAGATTGTTAAGCAAACCTCAACTCTCTTAACACTTGTTTTTCAGCATATACTTGTGCGTACACACACACACACACATATATATAAAGTTTTGAAAATCAAGTTTAGGACTAGAGAGATGGCTCAGCAGTTTCCACCACTTGTTGCTCTTGTAGAAGTCCTGGGTTTGGTTCCCAACTCTAACATGGTGGCACACAATCATCCCTAAATGCTGTTGTAGGGGATCTGATGCCTCCTTCTGTCTTCTGTGGGCACAAAACACATGTGGTAAACATACACATGTGCAAGCAAATCACCCATGTGGTGATATATTGTGTATCAAATAAAGTTTGCCTGAGGATCAGAGGACAGAACCAGCCACTAGATTAAACATACAGGCCAGGCAGTGGTAGCACACATCCTTAATCCTAGCACTCAGGAGGCAGAGATCCATCTGGATCTCTGTGAGTTCAAAGCCACCCTGGACTACATGAGATTGACTCAGTCCAGGAAAGAAACAGAGCCAGGCAGTGGTGGCACACACCTTTAATCCTAGCACGTGGTAGTCACACACCTTAATCCCAGCACTTGAGATCTCATGCCTTTGCTGCAAGTATTTGGGAAGCACACACATCATTAATCCCAGCACTAGGAAGGAAGTGAAATGGCTGGGCGGAGAAAGGCATATAAGGGGAGAGGACACAAGAACTAAGGCCTTTTGGCTGAGACCCTTTCAGCTGAGGACTCAGGGGCATTCAGTCTGAGGATTCATGGAGAGAGGATCGGCTGAGGAACTGGCGAGGTGAGAAGTGGCTGTGGCTTGTTTCCTCTGATCTTTCAGCATTTACCCTAACACCTGGCTCCGGGGTTTTATTAAACCATTTAGGATTTGTACAACACACTCATACACATGAAATAAAATATTGAAAAATTAAAAACACATACCCTCATACATCTTATGTCACCATAATTAAATAAGCCAGAAATACACACAAATGTGACAAATATCTGTAGCAAAAACTATAATTTTGTAATTAAAAGAATCAAGATACTCGATCAAAGGAGAGAAATTCCATGATTGTAAGACAGGAAGACTCAGTATTATTCCAGTACGGAATTTAAGCTATAGATTCAGCAACACTCCAATAAAAAGTCTAACAATTTTTCTATCCATTACAGAAAACTGATGACAAAAGGTCATCATGAATGAAAAAAAAAATGATCAACACAATATTAGGTAAACAGCACACACTCTTGATACCATCTGACTTTAAAACTTCCCATACAACTGCAATAAGGATTGTACTATCTGGGAAAGAATTAAGAGATCAACAGATCATGAGAGCAAACTCAAATAAAAACACAATGTAGTCAAAAATTTTAACACATGAGGCCAGGAAACCCAGTAAGTCTGGCCTTGCTGACACACGTGACTGGACCACCCTGGCATCTACATGCAAATGGGTTTATGACACAGACTTTACGCCATGCACAGAATTAACTGCAGGCGAATCCTACACCTGAATGTTCAGGGCCAAGTGCAGAACTTCTAGAAGACACTAGAGAGACCACGGCTCTGCGAGTTAACAAGTCTACTTCCCAGGAGACAATGAAACTCTCACATGTGGGGCCTGAACAGTGTAGTCAGCAATAGGACATATCCACACAGTGTCTTGTCCCCTCCCCCGCTCTCCCCTCCCCGGCATCCCCGTGTTCTGCACAGCCGCAGCCGCCGCAGCCCACAGATATAAGTCATTCAGAGGCCACAGGGCCGGACAGAGAACAGGAGGGGCCTCAGGGAACCCACGGACCTCATGGGGCTCCGCGTCGGCCGCCGGTTCCTACAGCCCCGGGACCCCACCCCGGCTCCCGCGGCTCCTCCCCGCGTGGGGACGGCGACCCTTCGCTCACCATGGCGGATTCCGAGCTCTCCCGGCTCTCCTCACTGCTCCCGGCAGCGGGTCAGCGCAACTGTAACGGCGTCTCCCTCAGCCCTGGAGCCGCGGAGCGTGCAGCATGGCGGACCGGAAGTGCCCTCCCCTATCCTGAATGGTAGTAAGCTTCGGAGCCCTGATTTGCTAGTGTGGCCTGAGTGACAGGAGCAGATCCCTTAGAGACACATTACTGTGAAGGGACACAGCGTTAGGGTCCCCAGCCCTGGCTTCCACCCCAGGCTCAGAACTGCAGAGATTGTCATTGCAGCAGAACTTGAGCGTGAACAGCAAAATTGTCCTCCCACTTTCCCTGCACTCGGTAAGCTCTTCCCCTTCTTCCTCCTGTGCACAGGATGTCAGGTCTCAAACCTGGGACCAACGGCTGAGGTGCCTATTTAACAAAGAAGACACTGGCTGCCAGATTCTCCCAGCATCCCTCAGTCCCTATCTGTTATGGGGTTTGGCTGGCATACCCTACCCCCTATTCTGAACTTCCCCAGCCCAGGGTCTGGGCTGCCCTTCCCTATAATCCAAACATTTCAGTAACTTGACTTTTTTCCCCCCATCTACCCATTACCTTCCTGGCCTCTTGGTCTGTCTCTCCTCTCCCCTAGCTCCTCTTCTCACATGGATCAGGCTCATTTCCACTCTGGACTCTCCCAGATGTCCCTGCATTTCCCTACATTCTGCCTTTTATCTACAATAAACGATCTCTTCCACCATACCTAGCAGCAGCCATGTCCTTTCCTCTTATATTTCTTTTCTTTTTTATTAAGAAATTTCCTGTTCATTTTGCATACCAACCACAGATCTCCTCCGCTCCTTCCTTCCATCCTCTAGTCTTTCCTCCTATCCCAACCCCCATTCCCACCTGCTCCAAAGCAAGGCCTCCCTTAGGGAGTAAGCAGAGCCTGATACACTTAGTTGAGGCAGGTCCAAGCCCCTCCCCTGGACCAAGGCTGTGTAAGGTGTCCCACCATAGGCAGTGGGCTCTAAAAAGCCCGCTCATGCCCTAGGGATGGATCCTGATCCCATTGCCAGTGGACCCCCGTAAGCAGATCAAGCTACACAACTAACTGTCTTGCTTATGCAGAGGGCCTAGTCCAGTCCCATAGAGGCTCCACAGCTATTGGTCCACAGTTTGTGAGTTCCCATTAGTTTGGTTTGGTTGTCTGTGTACATTTCCCCATCATGATCTTAATGCCCCTTGCTCATAGAATCCCTCCTCTCTCTCTTGGAATGGACTCCTGGAGCTTGGCCTAGTGCTTGGCTGTGGATCTCTGCATCTGCTTCATCGGTTACTGGAGAAAGGCTCTATGATGACAGTTAGGGTATTCACTAATCTGATTGCTGGGGTAGGCTACTTCAGGCACCCTCTCCACTATAGCTAGTAGTCTAAGGTGGGGTCATCTTTGTGGATTTCTGGGAAATCCTAGCACCCAGTTTCTCCCTATCCCCATGGTGTCTCCCTCTATCATGGTATCTCTTTCATTGCTCTTCCATTCCATCCCTGTTCCAGCTCAATCATTCCATTCCCTTATGTTCTCTTCCACCATCCCCTACCCTCCATTGCCCCCCCCCTCATTCCCCCAGTTTACTCATGGAGATCTCAATCATTTCCTCTTCCCAGGGCTATCCATTTGTCCCACTTGGGGTTCTCCTTGTTAGCTAGCCTCTCTGGAGCTGTGGGTTGTAGTCAGGTTATCCTTTGCCTTTCATCTAGTATCCACTTATAAGTGGGTACATACCATGTTTCTCCTTCTGAGTCTGGGTTACCTCACTCAGGATAATATTTTCTAGTTTCATCCATTTGCCTGCAAATTTCATGATGTCATTGTTTTTTACTGTTAAGTAGTATTATATTGTATATATGTGCCATATTTTCTTTATCCATTATTCAGTTGAAGGGCATTTAGGTTGTTTCCAGATTCTGGCTATTACAAACAATGCTGCTATGAACATAGGTGAGCATGTGTCCACCTGGTATGATTGAGCGTTCCTTGGGTACATGAGATCTGAGTACATGAGACTCAGATCCCCAAAACATATACCCACCATCATGCAAAGTAATCTTTCTACTATGTTCTAATTTAATTTACAATTGAAACACTGTTTTCTCCCTTCCAATTATATTCTCTCTCTCTCTCTCTCTCTCTCTCTCTCTCTCTCTCTCTCTCTCTTTCTCTCTCTGTTTGTTCAGGTGAGGATTGTCAAGGCACATGCACTAATCAGAGGACACCCTATAGGAGTTCCTTCACTCTTTCCACAATATGGCTTCTGAGATGGAACTAATGTATGTAGGTTTGGTTACAAGTGTCTCTACCCATTGGACTAATACCCACTCATACCACCCATATCTAAGCATTCTACACATTTCTATCAAGAGTAGTGAGTTCTTGGAAGCTTTACGTGTGGAATGTGGTTATTGTGATATGGACTCTCATTGAATGACTTTTTTGCACACTGCATCAGACAGCCTTTTTGATATGTCAGGGTATGGCAATTGACTTGGAAATGATTGGTGACCTAACAATCTTAAGTGTGTCCTTGCTGAAATTGGTAACTCAGGAATATCTCTACCCTAGGACTCCACTATTGCCTTTATTTAAAAAGTTAAGTCCTTACTGCCAGAAATCCTAAAAGTGAAGATTTAAGCACATGAGAGAATAATTACAAGGCACAGAGCAGAAACACAGTGGCCTAGATCACATATGTGTGTTGACTTAAACACTTCTTTGGCCAGGACACATATTGAACCCATCCCATGTTACCTCTATACTCAAGTTGGTAGCCACCTTTTCTGTGTTTATTGTTCCATACTCATATGTATACATGAGCAGAATCTAATTTTGTTGTCTGTGTATATACGGTTTGAAGTCTGCCTATTGTGCTGCATTGTAAAATGTTCTAATTTAATTTACAATTGAAACACTGTTTTCATCCCTGTGAGATGTTAATTCTTCTGCCTGACAATAGTTAATAGTTATTTTGTTGATAGTTATTTATGTGGGTGGTATGACTACACAGCTTTCCTTCTTCCACATTCATGCATCTGTTTAGGCATTCATTTTCTAGAAAGCACTGTTTCTTGACAGACTTCCTCATATTATAGCTTTTACATTATCTGTGATCCTATTCTGTGTTGTTCCCTGAGATGTAGATGTGCAGGATCTCTAATGTAGATGTATTTTAGGGGACTGGTTTTCCCATGCTTTTCTGATATCTGCAGGGTGTTCAGTTGTAGTTTTTTGTGTAGGCTCTGTTTTCTCCAATGACTGGGTAATAGCTACACTCCTCTGTATGTGTAATGAGATGTAGTATGTAGTAAGAAATTATGGTTCTCTGGGAAACAGAAATATAGGATTCTATCATAAGGCCCATATGGTGATATTTTATTTGTACTAAAATGTTATTTGTATGTTAATAAATAAAGTTGCCCGGAGGTCAGAGCTATTAGCAAACCATAGGAAAGCAGGGCAGTGGTGGCATACGCTTGTAATCCCAGCACTTGGTAGGCATAGCTAGGTAAGTCTCTGTGTGATCAGGGATACAGCCAGTATTGGATACACATGCCTTTAATTTCAATACCAATCATAGAAAACCTGGAGGTCTATACAGACAGGCCGTGACGAGGCGGTCATGTGGTTGGGTTTACAACCAATGAGAAGGCAGAACAGAAAGTCTATATAAAGACTTTAACACAGGAAGTAGCTCTGGTTCAGAGAGGTAGGACCACCGCAGGAGAAAGGGTAAGGTTTTAGCTCTCTGACCTCTTGGCTTTCTTCTTTGCATTGGTTCTGTGTTTCTTATTTAATAAGACGGTTGGTTACTTCTATACTTGGTGCCCAATGTGACAAGAATCCATTAAAAACCGCTTGGCTTGGCTTGGTGGCAGGTCCATTTTCCAGCCTGGGTGACCCGGCTCCCTAGCTCAGGCCGAGGTCTGACTGACCCGCAGCTGTTGCTACTTGCTTAAAGCTGGTGCTACAAACAACTCAGGACTGCCCTGCCAAACAGGGCCCCTGCATGTAAAGCCAAGGCTTGACTCAGCTCAAGCAGCTACGCTTTCTTGCTCTGTCTCTCTCTCTCTCTCTCTCTCTCTCTCTCTCTCTCTCTCTCTCTCTCTCTCTCTCTCTCTCTCTGGATTCACACCTCAGACACAAGGTGGCTGTTTTGAAATTCCCTCAGATTCCTACTGTTCTATGCAGACTTGGTAAGTCAATCAACATATCTTTTTAAAAGAGAATTTTTTTTCTACATTAAAAAAAATGAGCTTTATGTGTACAATGGAAGAAAATTGGGCTTTGTTTGAAATTTTAGGCACTCTGACAATGGAACAACTATATGAGAAGATTAATATTGATCAATTATTCAGTTTATTACTTTTCTTATCCTCATTTTACTATTTAAAAAGATAGTCAATTTAAGTGCCAGGATAACAGTCTTAGAAAAACCTGTTAAACCTGTAAAAATGAATTATAGAGAAATTCAAATTCAGACAGAAGAAATTAACAGTGAAGTTGTTTCAAAATTGGATCATAAGGTTACAGAAAGAAAGCCTGTTTTCACACAATCACCCTTAATTTATCCGGTAGCCATACAGCAGCTATCTGGTGAAGAGAATGAACAAAATACTTGGATTCCATTTGAAATGTTAGACTTACGAAGATTTAAGGAGGCAATAGCATCTTATGGCATGCATTCCCCATATGTAAAGCAAATGTTAAACACCTGGTCAACTTGTAATAGGATTCTACCAAAGGACTGGCGGGATTTGGCACAGGCTGTTCTTGAACCCGGACAAAATCTCCAGTGGAAAATGTGGTTCAATAATGAGGCTAAAAATATAGAAAAACATTGGAGGGATAAAGGAATACAAGCCTGCCAGGATCAGCATATTGGAGAAGGCCAATATGCTTCAGTACAAACACAATGTTTATATGATGTCCAAACCCTAATTCTATGTCAAACGGCAGCCTTGAATGCATGGGACAGAGTTGAGGAACCAGGAAAAAAAACTGAGTCATTTACAAAGGTTATATAGGGCCCAAAAGAATCTTTCACAGATTTCTTACAAAGATTGACTTCAGGAGTACAGAGAATGGTCCTGAATTCAAAGGCTAGTCAGATAATAATTGAATCTTTGGTTTTTCAGAATGCAAATGCAGCTGCAAAAGAATAATCAGACCACTAAAGGCAAGATCTGCACCTTTGGGAGATTGGATTAGAGACACGGTTAATATTGAGGCTTATGACCATGATGATATTTGGGTAGGAGAAGCAATTTCAAAAGGTTTGAGAAATGTTAGATGTTTTGGATGAGGAAAGCAAGGACATTTGAAAAGGGACTGTAAACATGTCATTCCTAGAAATAATGTTTCTTCAAGGAACACTGGCAACAGAATGCCCCTTCCTTCTGGAGTATGCAGAAGGTGTGGTAAGGGAAAACACTGGACCAACAAATGTAGATCAACAAGGGACAGACAGGGTAATCCTTTGCCTCGGGCTTCAGGAAACTCCCAGAGGGGCCTCAGGCAGGCCCCCACAGTAAATCCAGTTCAAACCTTTCCTGAAGTTGTAGAGGAAACCTCTACTCAAAGCAACTAAATAACCAAATGCCTATTGGAATAAATCATGTTGGTCGGGATGATGAAACAGAGAGAATAGGAAATTCAGGAAAAAAAAAAAGAAAATTTTTTGGCAAACTTCTATTAATGAACAAAGACCCAAACTAACAATAAAAATAAATGGTGTTTTGTTGTCTGGTCTGGTAGACACAGGTGCGGACATTACCATAATTGCACCAGAATTTTGGCATCCAACTTGGCCTCTTCAGGAGGTAAACGTTCAACTGTTAGGAATTGGGACATTATCTTGAGTGAAACAGAGTGCAAGATGGCTCGATGTATAGGTCCAGAAGGACAGAAAGGAAAATTAAAACCATATATGGCTAACATAGCTATGAACCTGTGGGGTCGAGACTTGTTACAACAATGGAATACTCAGATTAACATCCCTCCAATTTCAGAAACAAATCATAAACTAGTACATGTTTCAGAGAGAAATATTAGAAGATATTATTCTAATGAGTGGTCACCAGCCATCCATGTCATACAAGAACAGGGCACAACAACTGATAATCTTCCAAAAACACCAACAGCTCTACCTTTAAAATGGTCAACAGACAAGCCTGTATGGGTTCAGCAATGGCCTTTAACAACAGAGAAACTCCAGGCTTTAGAAGAGCTGGTAGAAGAACAGTTAAATGCTCATTATATTGAAGAATCAACCAGCCCTTGGAATTCTCCTGTATTTGTTATTAAAAAGAAATCTGGTAAATGGAGAATGGTAACAGACCTTAGAGCAATTAACAAAGTAATTCAGCCAATGGGCTCTCTATAATCTGGAATCCCTTTGCCTACTCTGTTACCAAAAGGATGGCCTCTCATAGTTATTGATTTAAAAGACTGTTTCTTTTCAATACCCTTACAAGAAAAAGACAGAGAAAGATTTGCTTTCACAGTGCCTACTTATAATAATTCTCAACCAGTTAAAAGATTTCAATGGAGGGTTCTCCCACAGGGAATGTTGAATAGCCCAACTCTGTGCCAATATTTTGTACAACAGCTATTGGAAGTGGTATGTAAAAAATATCCTAAATCTATAATTTATCATTATATGGATGATATTTTATTAGCTGACTCAAATGCAGATACCTTAGAAAGAATGTTTGAAGAAATAAAGAAAATTTTGCCTTGCTGGGGATTACAAATTGCTCCAGAAAAGATACAAAGAGGTGACTCTATTAATTATTTAGGATATAAAATAGAGCTACAAAAAATTAGACCTCAAAAGGTGCAAATTAGGAGAGATCGACTACAGACTCTTATTGACTTTCAAAGATTATTTTGAGACATTTCTCATCTAAGAACTATTGTTGGGGTAAAAAATGATGAACTGAGTAATTTGTTCAAAACCTTAGAAGGTGACAAGGACTTAAATAGTCCAAGAGAATTATCACCTGAAGCTGAGAAAGAACTGGCCTTGGTAGAAAAGAAAGTACATGAAGGGCACGTAGATCGTATTGATCCAAAGCTGGATTGCATTTTGATTATTTTACCTTCTAGGCATTCTCTTACAGGAATATTAATGCAGAGGGAAGATATTGCATTGGAATGGATATTTTTACAAAATAAACCAAATAAAATATTAAAAACTTATGTGGAAAGAATCTGACTTGATTTGGAAAGGAAAATTGAGACTTCGTCAATTAACAGGAATAGACCCAGCAGAAATTGTCATACCTTTAACTAAGGAGGACATTGAAAAATTATGGATAGAAAGTGAACCTTGGCAAAAAGCTTGCAGTAATTTTTTTGGGAGAAATTTACAGCAAATATCCCAAAAGCGATAGAATTGATCTTATAAAGAGAGCTGATTGGATCTTGCCTCAAATTGTGCAGAAAAAACCCATATCTGGAGTTCGTACATTTTATACAGATGCCAACAAACAAGGAAAGGCAGGTTACAAATCAGAAAATTTAAGTAAAGTGGTTCAAAGTCCTTATAATTCAGTTCAAAAATCAGAATTGTATGCTATTCTGTTGGTATTAATGGATTTTTCAGAACCTCTCAACATAGTAACTGACTCTCAGTATGCTGAAAGAGTAGTATTACATATTGAGACTGCAGAATTTATCCCTGATGCTTCAGAATTAACTTCACTATTCATTCAATTACAAGATACAATCAGGAAAAGGAGTCATCCTTTATATATAACTCACATCCGATCCCATACTGGTCTGCCAGGCCATCTAGCACAAGGCAATGATGAGATTGATAAATTATTGATAGGAAATGTGCTGGAGGCCTCAGAATTTCATAAAAAACATCATGTCAATAGTAAAGGTTTAAAAAAGGATTTTTCCATAACCTGGCAACAAGCCAAAGAAATAGTAAAGAAATGTCCTACTTGTTCCTTCTACAATCAAACGCCAGCAGGATGTAACCCAAAGGGTACTCAGAGGAATGAAATCTGGCAGATGGACGTGTTTCACTTTGCAGAATTTGGAAAACTGAAATATGTACACCACACCATCGATACTTATTCAGGATTTCAATGGTTAACTGCTTTGAGTTCTGAAAAAGCTGATTCTGTAATCACTCATTTGCTAGAAGTTATGGCCATCATGGCTATACCTGCACAAATTAAAACTGACAATGCTCCATCATATGTCTCTGTCAGAAGAGCCATCTGATATAGGACAGAATAAAACCAAAATTAAAGGACTATTCTATTGCCACTAATCTCATAATTCTTTGATTCTATTTTGACTCTTTAAATCTTTTCTTAAGGTATAAATTTTACATCAAAATTTATAAAATTACTATATATATATATATATATATATGTATGTATATTTCAAACCTTTGTCAAGATATTGATGGTCATATAGAGTACTAACTAATCCTAAAAAGAGGCTTCATCTACCTTCCTGTACATGATTTTGGGTTTGAGTTTCTATCAGTTTTCTCCAGGTAACCAGGACAGCATCTAACAGTGACTTTGAAGTCTCCAAAAAGATGATGGGGCCCCACAATGACAATTCCATCAGGACAGTGATAATACCACTAAGCTGACAAATACCACCTGAAGATAGGTTTTGGACTACAAACTGCTAAGGACAATTGTGAGATGGCTAGCTGAGATGATCCAGGCTCACAGACTACTTGAGCAAGGACTTGAAACAAGCCTGCTTTTTTGCATTATGCAGAGACTGAGCAAAAAAAGATACAGCAACCTCTCCCAGGACTTGACAACTAACCAAAAGCTCTTCTTTTCAGGATCCCCTAAAGATGCCTTCACCCCCAGACAGCAGGAATTAATTTCAAGAACATGATGCTCACATTCCCAAGAGGGGGGGCTGTTGGTTTTTGGTCATTCAATGGGTTATGGATAATTGTCTTTGCTTAGGATGGTTGGTTACAAGTTGGTAATTGATAATAATCAGGAATAAATTTAAACAAGGAGATTAGATTCAGGATTTTTGTTTGAAAAAAGAAAAAGAAAAAAGAGGAAATAGATAATAAGTAGATTATTGAATCTACTCTGAAAAAAAATATATAGAAATGATGGATAAAGGGTAGATTATTGAACCTATTCTGAAAATAAAAAAGAGAGAATATGGATATTATAAGATAAAAAGGTAAATTATTGAATCCACTTTTAAAAGGCAACTACTAATTTTAAATATTTTACATTGGATTTGATTTTTGTATATTATATACAAATTTTGTATATTGATATAAATTTGAGATTGATTTTATTAAAACATATTATACCTATATTTCTAATCTCGTTCAAGGTATTGTACCTATACAGTTCATTTAACAATGTAATGCAAATTGCCAGTTCTTGAAAGTTATTATTACCAACTAATTTGGATATAAAGAAATGAAAGATAGTAGTTAATCATTACAATTTAACTTGTAGTCATATTAAGTATGTTTTCAAGTCAAATGGAAATATATTTTAGATAGACAGATCAACTTCAAACACTTCAGAGAGCTACAGAACTTAACATTTAAGATGTTTTAATAACATAGTTTTTTTTCTTTCTTTTTATGACAGTGAGACATGTCTGCTCCTGGCAGCACCAGTCTACTTCAGAAAAGATGATGGGCATTGAAGAAACTCCTTATGGAGTTTACTTTCATTGTGGCAATAGTTAGCCACTGGGCAAGAAAATACACTTAACTCAACTGCTGAACAGTATGCTGCCCAAAATGGACAAGCAAGACACAAAAGAAAAGACTGCTGATCATTGCCAAGACAAGGTAGGAAAGCTCTATAGAAAATCTTGCTTCACAGATGAGTCTGTCAGATATGCTAGACTTGTAGGACAAAGATGGATGCCCCAACATTGCAGAGGAAACTCAGGTGACTGTCCAGGAAGCCAGCTGTTTCTGTCATTCCTCACATATTTTGGAAGTCACTTGTTTGTGCTTCCTGTTTATTTCTTTCTCGGGTCTCTGAGGGAGTTGAAGATTAGATAGCTATAGTTATAGTTTTCCTTGTTAACAAATTCAGAAAAGAAATGCACTAAAGAGTTGTAAAATATATAAATTTAGAAAACACCAAATGATTGTTTTTGGTTTGTAATACAAGTTAGGATAGAGAGTAATTTAGGTACATTTTGAACTCACCAAAATAGGAAAGATAATGGAATATTTTTGCTGAATTTGTCAAATGCAAATAGACTAGACATTGTTGATGTATTTATTGCCTGTATATATTTTATACAGTTATTGTACTTATTGTATATAGTTTTTTTAATATTAGTTATAACTATTTTTAGACAAAAAAAGGGGGAAATGTCATGATTTTTTTTTTGTGCTCTAACAAGTAAAGTTTGCTGGGGATCTTGGGACAAAGCTAGCCACTATATTAAACACAGAGGTCAGGCAGTGGTAGCACATGCCTTTAATCTTAGCATTCAGGAGGCAGAGATTCATCTGAATCTCTGTGAGTTCATGGCCACACTGGGAACAGAGCCAGCCATGGTACAAATGCCTTTAATTGCAGCATTAGTTAACCATACAGGTCTGGAGGTCTGTACAAACAGACAGGAAGTGATAGAACTGGCCAGAAAGAGGAAGTAAGGCAGTCTCAGATGTTCAGAGTTAGTGAAAGGAGAATACTGGGTTTATGCATGTTTGTGCCATATGAGTCCAAAGTAAATACTCAGGGATTTTATGAGACATCAACATTCACTTTTTGAAATAGGAGGGAAGAAAAAATATCAGATTGATTTATAGATTGTAGTTTTTCTGTATTTTCTTAGAGTTCATTGAATGTGATATGTTATATTATAAAACAGGTAAGATATTTTACCTTAATGGTTTTCAGACTGGCACTTCACAAAACTTAGATCTTAGAACCACCTTAATGCTTGTCATTTTCCTCATATGATAGGTTGTGTTCTGTACCCTTCAGCTTCCTGATGGGCCATTTCACTCTATCCTGAGAGATCATGACCCATTTCCAAATCTCCATCAACTCTTCCCCAAGACAAATATCTTACTCTTGCCATGATCATTTTGATGGATTATTTCAGCTGGATCTGTGTAGCTAGAGTTTTTCTGCCTGGCCCACAGTCAGGACAAATCTCTTTCACCTGTCAGTCCCACAGCCACTCAGACCCAATCAAGTAAACACAGAGACATATTGGTTACAAACTGTATGGCTGTGGCAGGCTTCATGCTAACTGTTTTTATAGCTTAAATTAATCCATTTCTATAAATCTATACCTTGCCACGTTGCTCGTGGCTTACTGGCATCTTCACATACTATTTCTTATCGTGGGGGCAGGCAGTGTCTCTGCCTCAGCCTTCCACTTCCCAGCTTTATTCTCCTCCTTCTCCCGCCTATACTTCCTGCCTGGCCACTGGCCAATCAGTGATTTATTTATTGACCAATCAGCAACACACTTGACATACAGACCATCCCACAGCAGATCTGGTCACAACAGATGACAAAAAAAGTATTAAATTTTTATCAGAGATAAGAAAAGATGCAAATTAACAAAGCAGAGCCTCTTTAGCCTTTGTGAATGTGATTCCAAGAATCACCTTTATACAGTTATACAAGAAACCGGCATGTATGTATCATTATCTAGTTATGATATCATCAGCAAAAGTTATCATATATGGTGACACTAATTCTCTTTAAGCTTTGAAATTTCAAATTTTGAAAAATGAAAAATATAGACACACAGAAAACCTGGGTCACAAATTCACAATTGTCTGTTATTACAAATAACAGAAATGTCATCTCTGCCTTAGTATATGGAACTTTTTCATTTCACACAGTCATAGTAAAATTTGTGGATTTAGAACTCTTACTCATACTATGAAGTCTTGCAAATACTCAGAACATATGTCCTTTGGAATACTGGGGAGGCTGAATTTGACCACAAGTTTAACATCTGCTTCACAAACGGAGAATGCATGACATATGAGGCTATCAATTCTTTGAATAGTCTCAGATCTAACATTTGCACAAGAGTCCATTCAGCTCTTACACAGTCTGGGGGATATGTATCATTTGGTAATTCCTGTAAGGTTACTGGATAATTTAAGGTTGGCAGTTTGAAATCCTTAGGCTGTTTCTCTGTAACATTTAATGCGATGCTGATACTTGTTCTTTAAATTCCTCTGTCTGGGTCTGAATATATCTATGATTATTTATTTATTTATTTATTTATTTATTTATTTATTTATTTTAGGAGCTGAGCACGGAACCCAGGTCCTTGTGCTTGCTAGGCAAGCACGCTACCACTGAGCTAAATCCCCAACCCCCATCTCTGATCTTTTTAAACAAGCTTTTCTAAAACTTTTATCTTGGCACTCATATAACAAACTTTTTTAATGATAAAATAAAAATGATAAAACAAATAATATTTATAATTGACATTACATAAATCCCATCTAAATTAATTATCCTCTCATCTAATTGTTCCATTTTCAAACTATGCATTGTGTAATCATATAAGGACCTAACTCTCTCCATCATAATAGTGTTTTCCATTTTTTAATGTGGGAAAAACTCTTTCTTTTAACTAATTCTATCCTTTAAGAATTCCCAATTGCCACAGGCAATGAGATTTTTTTGTGAATTCATGCCCTGAAGTTGGGGCATCCGATGTAGCACAAATCCTAACTGGTCTTAATAATAAAAATCCAGAGCCAGATATCAGGGTAACAAGCTGGGGGTGCCCTTAAAGATTATTATCAAACATTTGGACCTGAAAAGGTTCCAGTAACTGCTGTTTCTTATCGGAAATTAATAGATGAAATTTTATCACAGAAACATCAGGATTCTGTCATTGCAAATGTAATTATAAAAAGGAAGAAAAATCCTTCAGGTACAGAAATATAAGAAGGAATCAAAGAAAAAAAAGATTTAGAACAAAAGGATAGAAAAAAGGAGAAAGAGTGTGAGGATCTCATGACCTTTGAGAGTGATGTTGAAGAAGATAAGAAGGCAGTCAGTAAACTCTCAGAAATAGAAAATAAAAAGGTTGAAATTGAAATTAAAGGACCCATGGAAGGACAAAATATCACACCCGGAGGGAGCAAGATAAAAAAAAATAATTAAAAAAAGGTAAAAAATGGCTGATAAAAAGACACCCTTGAGTTAAAATCAAGATCATACCATTTGGAGGGAGCTAAACCTAAGATGAAAAAATATATCCACCTTTGACAGAATTTTTAGATACCAAGGATGATCTAAGTGATGAGGCTGGGATGACTTGGGGGAAGAAGCAACTAGATAACATAATCCAGACTGGCCGCTTGTCACTCAACGTCCTCAATCTTAAAGCCCTTTCCCCAGTGCCCTGTCCTTGACATGTCCAGTTCTCAACCCTAGAAAAGAGCTTCAAGACAAGATAGGGTTTATCAAAGAACAAATAAAACTAGAAAAAGAGTATCAGGACCTTATAGTTCAACTAGAGGGTTTAAAAACAGGAAAATCCAAGAGTGAGGCCAAACAAGGAAAATCCTGTAACAAAAAGTCACCTATGAGGAGGACAGCTCCGAAATTTTCCCCGAAACCAGAATTTACACCAGAATTAGATGAAATAGAAGCATTCCCAGTAACTGAAACACTGGATGCACAAGGGCAGGCCTGCCTGGTAACATTCAGGTTTCGTTTTCAAATTAATTAAAGAATTAAAGACAGTGGTAGCACAGCATGGGGCCACAGCTCCCTATACTACAGCAATTGAGGAGTCAGTGGCCGAGAATTGGCTCACACCTGGAGACTGGCAGACACTTGCTAGAGCAACTCTAGCTGGAGGGGATTATCTTCTGTGGAAGTTTGAGTTGGTCCACACATGTGAAGATACTGCCAGGCGCAATGTGCAAACCGGCAATGGATGGAATTTAGACATGCTGATAGGAGAAGGGAATCATGCTAGCAGTGAAGTTCAAATGCAATATGTTGCAGGTATATTTGCACAAGTCCAAGTGGCCCCAACTAAAGCCTGGAGAAAACTGCCAGTGAAAGGGGACATGAGCTCTTCTCTAGCTAACATCAAACAAGGGCCAGATGAGCCTTTTGCAAACTTTATCCATCGTTTAATAACTGCAGCTGGCAGGATCTTTGGCAACACTGATGCAGGTATGGACTTTGTCAAACAACTAGCTTTTGAAAATGCCAATGCTGCCTGACAAGCAGCCATCCACCCGTACAAGAAAAAGACTGATTTTTCAGGTTATATACTCCTCTGCTCAGATATTGGAGCCACTTATGAGCAAGGTCTTACTATGGTTGTTGTTATGCAAGGGTATACAGGTAGACAATTTCTATCCCAACAAAATAAAAATAAGGGTTTTACTTATGGGGAAACTGGACATTTTGCTAAGGAGTGTAAGGGACATAAAAATACAATGGCTTGCATCACAGATATAAAAGAAAACATTGGGCTAGTAAATGCAGATCCAAGACAGATGCTCAAGGACAACCCCTGCCTCAGGTTCAGGGAAATGGGAAAAGAGACCAGAACCAGGCCCCCAGACCCAAACAAATCTTTGGGGCAGTCAGTTTTGTTCCAGCAAACAACAATCCATTTCAAACCTCCTCAGAGCCACAACAGGAAGTGCGGGATTGGACTTCAGTTCCACCACCCACCCAGTATTAATACCTGAGACGAGGATCCATGCCCTACCCACTGGAGTCTTTGGCCTTTTACCTAAGGAAACATTTGGCCTTATAGTGGGACGTAGCAGTTCCACACTCAATGGGTTACAGGTACTCCCTGGAGTTATAGATA